CCCGATTTACGGACTTTAGACCCTGAAAATCTTTCGATTTGCACGAAATTTGGCATAGCGTACTGAATTGAGCCACGAAAGATGTGTGCCAAGTTTCGTGAAAATCGGTTCAGATTTAGATATAGCTCCCATATATAGTTTCGGCCGATTTTTGTTAAATGGCGTACCAAAGTCCCTATATATCTTTCGATTTGCACGAAATTTGGCATAGCGCACTGAATTAAGTCTAGAATGATGTGTGCAAAGTTTCGTGAAAATCGGTTCAGATTTAGATATAGCTCCCGTATATATCTTCCTCCGATTTAAGGTAAATGGTGTACCAAAGTCCTTATATATCTTTCGATTTGCATGAAATTTGGCATAACGTACTGAATTGAGGCTAGAATGATGTCTGCCCAGTTTCGCGAAAATCGGTCCAGATTTAGATATAGCTCCCATATATAGTTTCGTCCGATTTCATGTTAATGGTGCCCCAAAGTCCCTATATATCTTTCGATTTGCAGGAAATTTGGCATAATATATCCTTCGATATATTTGGATAGAGCTTCCATATATATTTTCGCCCGATTTTAAGTAAATTGGACATCAAACTCTTCATGCTAGTCAGGTTGACATCAAATTTTGCACAACATACAACATTGAGCATAGAATTACGTAGTTGCGTTTTGTAGAAGTACAGACATAGCCCAACAGATAACCTATTTATATTTGATTGAAGTCGATTTATATAACTTATGGATATATATGTAGGTAGATTCACATTTAGATAAATATCACATATTTTATTTCATCCAATTTCATGTTAATAGTCCTGTTTAATATATCCATAGTGGTGAAGGGTATCATATAGTCGGCCCCGTCCGACTTTACTACTTTCCTTACTGGTTAAACATGAGAATTGTAAATGATTTATTTTTATGATCGATGTTGATATTGTTTTTTGGATAATGTTTTTTGCAAAAATCCGCCGATCTAAATTATTGAGTACGAAGGGAAGGGCAACAACTATAGGATAGCCTATACGGGTTGTCAATTTACCAAATTGCTGAAAAAACTGATCGAACCGGAAATTTCAGTAATTATCGCATCTGGGGCCCGCAAACCTCAAGAGTTACTGTTGAGAAGCTTATCTACCACAGCGTACTGTTTATGATCCTGCAGGGTATTGAATCTCACGTTTTTTTAAATATGAGGTTAGGATGAGAGCTTATTAATGATTTATTTTTATGGTCGATGTTGGATGGTATTAATTTGGACAACGTTTTCTTCCAACAAGTGGCCGTGGCGTGAAACACAAACGACGAAACCATTGCTCTTTTTTACGGGAAAAACTTTCGAAGAGGTAATCAAAATTTGCCATGGAGATTTTTCGAAGTTATAGTTGCAAAAATCCGCCGACCTAAATTATTGAGTACGAAGGAAGGGCAAAAACTATAGGATAGCCTACAGGGTTGTCAATTCACCAAATTGCTGAAAAAATCTCATGGCTTCGGAAAAGTTCGCATCTTTTCAAAAATGAGGTTAGGCTTAGTGATTATAAATGATTTATTTGTATAATCGATGTTGAATGGTATTAATATGGCGTGATAATAATAATGCGCTCAGCAAGGGACACAAAAGTAGTTCTGGTAATAAGATACCCTAAGATGTCTATGTATGTGTGTAATCAGTGTACTTCTCAAGCAGTGTTCAGTATCTAAAGATACGGTTGGGTTTCAATATCTGAATTTTACATTTGGTCCTTCGAGCGGTGTAACAATAAAATCTGGTCTTTCGATAATAAGAACCACAATAATATACTTAAAAAAGATAATTGAAACTGTATCCTCAGATGCAGATAAAAGAGTCATACTCAGGTGTCATTCGAATTCTCATTATTCTGCTGCGAAAATTAAGCAAAATTCTGGTATTAAGTTTATCAACAGTAAAACGCTTTAGATACGATCCGCAAGGAAGAACATTACATGGACTAGAGAGTGGCACAGAGTAATTTTTCACCGATGAAAAGGATACAGTTGATATAATTACTACGTTCATGATATTCAAACGGAAGAACACCATTTAAATCGTTTACATTGTCGTTTTAGGTTACGTTATGGTGTGGTAGAGCCATTAGTTATGGAGCTTCAATTTCAAGGGACTGCCGTAAAAATATTACATGGACTAGAGAGTAGTGTAGAGTAATGTTTCTCCGATGTAAACACATTTTATTCAGAGTACCCAGATGCAGATAAAATTGCGTTATGATGTGGGGAGCTAATAGTTATTATGGAACACTTGAGCTTCAATTTCGTTCGTCCAAAATGAATGCGATAACGTACAAAGGAGTTTTAGAAAGGTTTTTTTTTCTGGAGCTCTAAACCATACAGCACGATTCGTCAAAGATTGGATTGATGGCCAAAATGTGGAGAGATCCTGGTTACCATATTCTCCCGATTTAAATATCATCAGAAAAGTATAGGGTTGGCTAGTGCGTAAAGTTCGCTAGCCTGGCAAGCTGTATAATACCAGACGTAGTAACACCTCTTATTGGAAAATATACTATGGAAACAAGCGTATATATTTACGGAGATAGGAATTTCCAAATGTCGTCTATGCACAACATAGTTGAATTCTAATTAGAAAATATATATACTGCCAATAGAAACAATATATTCACAATTCACTGAAAAGAAAAAGAAATCCATTATTTTTTCAGCAGATGGCTGTACGTTGGAAGGATGACATTTCGCAGTAAAAAATTATATTGATGTGTTTTGTTTGCATTGTGTTGTGAGCTACAGGGTTTTAAAAATGGAATTGAACAAAGAGAAAATTAGGTTTTTCTTTGACAAAGGCGAAAATGCAATGATGTTTATGGTTCCGATACTGTAACATCCAATTTTGGTTTCGTAGATTTCGTTCAGGAATTTTGATGTTAAAGACGCACCTCGCACAGATAGGCCGGTCGTCGGAAATGTTGATAAAATCGGAGAAATTATCGAATTTGGCGGTCATGTTAGCAGTCGTAAAATCGTCCAGGTCGATTTACAGATATTACAGTTTTTTTTTACTTTAATGGTATATATATATTGTTTCCTATATGGGTCTTCTATAGGCTAAAGATATTTTAATGCAACATATTAAATAAATTACAATGTAAGGGGGTTTCCACCTACGGGAGCAGAGCTGAATGTTAACGGACGCGTGCACATTTAGCCGATAATGGAAATCCCAATATTATTCATTATTATCAGTCGCGGACAATCAGCGGGTCCTGGGAGAGTTTCGGAGGAAATGACCGAGAGCCTATGTATTCATGGATTGACGAGACGAAAATGGCGCCACCAAATATCCAATTCTCAGGTCGTAGGTCACTTATTTCCTATGAGGCTTTCCTAACGAAGCATTAGGCAACCTCAGGTCCATCGATGTTCACGGTTTGAAGTAAGGGCCTGACTGCATTTGAACGGAGCCTTTCGGGGCGCATCAATAAGTTTTTCAGGCTAAACTTCCCAGTCATTACAAAGGTAAGAGGCTATGTCATGGCTGACCTCAAGTTCTCACTTCAAAAACTTTCTATGGAGCCGCCTTTTACAATGGCTGGCGATGATGAAGATCTCATCTCTATTTCCACGGCGTGTAGCGAAGATACTTCTCAAGCAACTGGCTTTTGAAGTAGATACTAATGCTAATGACCTTCCCATCGGAACGACGGATGAATCACCAGAACACGAAACTGCCAAACGGGTCAGTGCCAAAGAAATCTTTGAAAAAAATGATTTACCTGAGAGCAGTTAACTTCTGCAACCGGTTTATCGAACGGGACATGGATTTTATTACCGACAAGAAATTCTTTCTGATTATGAGTAACCTCGAATTCATTCGGAAGTTCTCTCGGAAATATCCGAATGAAATTGCGATGGACTTCTTAATTGAAGAGGTGACGTCTGAGAACAACCAGGACGATGTTGGTGGTGACTTCTCCATCCTCCACAATGAAGGAGGGCAAGGTAGTGTCGAAGTCGGATCGAGGGAGAGCCTGTAGAAAGGACTCCAGAAATGCTGCTAAAACACAACCCCCCTATGAGAAAATATAGAATGAAATTCGGCTGCTGCTGAAATGCCAAAACCTGAATAAACCAAAAGTGACGAAACAATCAATTAAAAAAAAAATTCATAGAATTTCAATTTTTTTTTTTCAATGTAAAATTTTATTATTTGTTTTCCGATCAATTTCAATTACAATTCTATTATTTCGTTTTGCGGAAATTTTGTTTTATTGAAATTTGTTTTCAATTTCACGGTGTTACAAATAAACATTTTCAGAAATCAATTTGAAAAAAGCACACTAATTTTTTTTTCTTTTTTTAATTAAAAACTACAACTACGAAAAATAATTAGATTAATATAAAAATATTATTTAATTTTTTTTGTTTCAATTTAAAACTAAACTTAAAAATTAAGTTAAAAAATATTAAAAATAATAAAATTAAAAATCATATATAATTGGTTATCTTTGTATGTGTTCAATGTGAATTTTTTGTTGTTGTTGTTGATTTTGTCTTAATTACAGAGAGACACAGAGGGTGGAGAGATTGAGAGAGGGAGTGAGACAGGGGGAGAGTAAAATCTACTTAACAGTGAAAAAATATTCCTGTTAGATATTGAGGTTCCCCATTTAATTTATTTTTCTCCTTAAATTATTAGCTTTGTTCCTTGACTTTTTTTAAAAAATAAAATAATTTTATAAAAATAATAAATTAACAAAACAAAAAAATGTATATTTATGTACGAAAGGTATGTTAAACTAGATTAGAATATAGACATGATTTTTCTTTAGAGGGGGGACTGTGTTAGATTTTCTTTTATGATTTTTGTTTTCACTGCTTTGATTTTGGGTTTTTTTGTTTTTGTTGTTTGTTGTTCTTCATTTCTATTTTATTTTGTTTTTAAGATTAATTTTTTATCAGTTGTTGCGAAATAAAATAATTTGTAGACGACAAAGGACTGGATGAGATGTTTACAGCGTTTTGGCCCGATCCAGAAGATCGCTGATGAATTTCTGTAAACAAAGAGATAGAGAGAGGGAGGATATTAAAAGTCAATACGATATCAAATATTTGACAATTACTACTTACAGATATGTCAGATTGCGGGCGTTTGCAGACGGACAATAATCGCTAGAATAAATGAAAAAAATAATTAAATTAATTTTTTTAATAAAAAATTATTTTCAAAAAAATATATTTTCAAATTATTTTTTTTTTTCAAGGGTCCCCTAAGACGTGGATTTTTTAGAGAATGTTTTTTCAAGGGTCCAACAAAGAGGCGTGGATTTTTTAAAGAATATTTTTTCAAGGGTCCAACAAAGAGGCGTGGATTTTATAAAGAATATTTTTTCAAGGATCCACACAAGGCGTGGACTTTTTAAAGAATATTTTTTCAAGGATCCACACAAGGCGTGGATTTTTTAAAGACTATTTTTTCAAGGGTAAACACAAGGCGTGGATTTTTTAAAGAATATTTTTTCAAGGGTATAACCCAGGCGTGGATTTTTTAAAGAATATTTTTGAAAAGGATCCACACAAGGCGTGGATTTTTTAAAGAATATTTTTGAAAAGGATCCACACAAGGCGTGGATTTTTTAAAGAATATTTTTGAAAAGGATCCACACAAGGCGTGGATTTTTTAAAGAATATTTTTGAAAAGGATCCACACAAGGCGTGGATTTTTTAAAGAATATTTTTGAAAAGGATCCACACAAGGCGTGCATTTTTTAAAGAATATTTTTGAAAAGGATCCACACAAGGCGTGGATTTTTTAAAGAATATTTTTTCCACACAAGATTTTTTAAAGATTTTTCCACACAAGGCGTGGATTTTTTAAAGAATATTTTTGAAAAGGATCCACACAAGGCGTGGATTTTTTAAAGAATATTTTTGAAAAGGATCCACACAAGGCGTGGATTTTTTAAAGAATATTTTTGAAAAGGATCCACACAAGGCGTGGATTTTTTAAAGAATATTTTTGAAAAGGATCCACACAAGGCGTGGATTTTTTAAAGAATATTTTTGAAAAGGATCCACACAAGGCGTGGATTTTTTAAAGAATATTTTTGAAAAGGATCCACACAAGGCGTGGATTTTTTAAAGAATATTTTTGAAAAGGATCCACACAAGGCGTGGATTTTTTAAAGAATATTTTTGAAAAGGATCCACACAAGGCGTGGATTTTTTAAAGAATATTTTTGAAAAGGATCCACACAAGGCGTGGATTTTTTAAAGAATATTTTTGAAAAGGATCCACACAAGGCGTGGATTTTTTAAAGAATATTTTTGAAAAGGATCCACACAAGGCGTGGATTTTTTAAAGAATATTTTTGAAAAGGATCCACACAAGGCGTGGATTTTTTAAAGAATATTTTTGAAAAGGATCCACACAAGGCGTGGATTTTTTAAAGAATATTTTTGAAAAGGATCCACACAAGGCGTGGATTTTTTAAAGAATATTTTTGAAAAGGATCCACACAAGGCGTGGATTTTTTAAAGAATATTTTTGAAAAGGATCCACACAAGGCGTGGATTTTTTAAAGAATATTTTTGAAAAGGATCCACACAAGGCGTGGATTTTTTAAAGAATATTTTTGAAAAGGATCCACACAAGGCGTGGATTTTTTAAAGAATATTTTTGAAAAGGATCCACACAAGGCGTGGATTTTTTAAAGAATATTTTTGAAAAGGATCCACACAAGGCGTGGATTTTTTAAAGAATATTTTTGAAAAGGATCCACACAAGGCGTGGATTTTTTAAAGAATATTTTTGAAAAGGATCCACACAAGGCGTGGATTTTTTAAAGAATATTTTTGAAAAGGATCCACACAAGGCGTGGATTTTTTAAAGAATATTTTTGAAAAGGATCCACACAAGGCGTGGATTTTTTAAAGAATATTTTTGAAAAGGATCCACACAAGGCGTGGATTTTTTAAAGAATATTTTTGAAAAGGATCCACACAAGGCGTGGATTTTTTAAAGAATATTTTTGAAAAGGATCCACACAAGGCGTGGATTTTTTAAAGAATATTTTTGAAAAGGATCCACACAAGGCGTGGATTTTTTAAAGAATATTTTTGAAAAGGATCCACACAAGGCGTGGATTTTTTAAAGAATATTTTTGAAAAGGATCCACACAAGGCGTGGATTTTTTAAAGAATATTTTTGAAAAGGATCCACACAAGGCGTGGATTTTTTAAAGAATATTTTTGAAAAGGATCCACACAAGGCGTGGATTTTTTAAAGAATATTTTTGAAAAGGATCCACACAAGGCGTGGATTTTTTAAAGAATATTTTTGAAAAGGATCCACACAAGGCGTGGATTTTTTAAAGAATATTTTTGAAAAGGATCCACACAAGGCGTGGATTTTTTAAAGAATATTTTTGAAAAGGATCCACACAAGGCGTGGATTTTTTAAAGAATATTTTTGAAAAGGATCCACACAAGGCGTGGATTTTTTAAAGAATATTTTTGAAAAGGATCCACACAAGGCGTGGATTTTTTAAAGAATATTTTTGAAAAGGATCCACACAAGGCGTGGATTTTTTAAAGAATATTTTTGAAAAGGATCCACACAAGGCGTGGATTTTTTAAAGAATATTTTTGAAAAGGATCCACACAAGGCGTGGATTTTTTAAAGAATATTTTTGAAAAGGATCCACACAAGGCGTGGATTTTTTAAAGAATATTTTTGAAAAGGATCCACACAAGGCGTGGATTTTTTAAAGAATATTTTTGAAAAGGATCCACACAAGGCGTGGATTTTTTAAAGAATATTTTTGAAAAGGATCCACACAAGGCGTGGATTTTTTAAAGAATATTTTTGAAAAGGATCCACACAAGGCGTGGATTTTTTAAAGAATATTTTTGAAAAGGATCCACACAAGGCGTGGATTTTTTAAAGAATATTTTTGAAAAGGATCCACACAAGGCGTGGATTTTTTAAAGAATATTTTTGAAAAGGATCCACACAAGGCGTGGATTTTTTAAAGAATATTTTTGAAAAGGATCCACACAAGGCGTGGATTTTTTAAAGAATATTTTTGAAAAGGATCCACACAAGGCGTGGATTTTTTAAAGAATATTTTTGAAAAGGATCCACACAAGGCGTGGATTTTTTAAAGAATATTTTTGAAAAGGATCCACACAAGGCGTGGATTTTTTAAAGAATATTTTTGAAAAGGATCCACACAAGGCGTGGATTTTTTAAAGAATATTTTTGAAAAGGATCCACACAAGGCGTGGATTTTTTAAAGAATATTTTTGAAAAGGATCCACACAAGGCGTGGATTTTTTAAAGAATATTTTTGAAAAGGATCCACACAAGGCGTGGATTTTTTAAAGAATATTTTTGAAAAGGATCCACACAAGGCGTGGATTTTTTAAAGAATATTTTTGAAAAGGATCCACACAAGGCGTGGATTTTTTAAAGAATATTTTTGAAAAGGATCCACACAAGGCGTGGATTTTTTAAAGAATATTTTTGAAAAGGATCCACACAAGGCGTGGATTTTTTAAAGAATATTTTTGAAAAGGATCCACACAAGGCGTGGATTTTTTAAAGAATATTTTTGAAAAGGATCCACACAAGGCGTGGATTTTTTAAAGAATATTTTTGAAAAGGATCCACACAAGGCGTGGATTTTTTAAAGAATATTTTTGAAAAGGATCCACACAAGGCGTGGATTTTTTAAAGAATATTTTTGAAAAGGATCCACACAAGGCGTGGATTTTTTAAAGAATATTTTTGAAAAGGATCCACACAAGGCGTGGATTTTTTAAAGAATATTTTTGAAAAGGATCCACACAAGGCGTGGATTTTTTAAAGAATATTTTTGAAAAGGATCCACACAAGGCGTGGATTTTTTAAAGAATATTTTTGAAAAGGATCCACACAAGGCGTGGATTTTTTAAAGAATATTTTTGAAAAGGATCCACACAAGGCGTGGATTTTTTAAAGAATATTTTTGAAAAGGATCCACACAAGGCGTGGATTTTTTAAAGAATATTTTTGAAAAGGATCCACACAAGGCGTGGATTTTTTAAAGAATATTTTTGAAAAGGATCCACACAAGGCGTGGATTTTTTAAAGAATATTTTTGAAAAGGATCCACACAAGGCGTGGATTTTTTAAAGAATATTTTTGAAAAGGATCCACACAAGGCGTGGATTTTTTAAAGAATATTTTTGAAAAGGATCCACACAAGGCGTGGATTTTTTAAAGAATATTTTTGAAAAGGATCCACACAAGGCGTGGATTTTTTAAAGAATATTTTTGAAAAGGATCCACACAAGGCGTGGATTTTTTAAAGAATATTTTTGAAAAGGATCCACACAAGGCGTGGATTTTTTAAAGAATATTTTTGAAAAGGATCCACACAAGGCGTGGATTTTTTAAAGAATATTTTTGAAAAGGATCCACACAAGGCGTGGATTTTTTAAAGAATATTTTTGAAAAGGATCCACACAAGGCGTGGATTTTTTAAAGAATATTTTTGAAAAGGATCCACACAAGGCGTGGATTTTTTAAAGAATATTTTTGAAAAGGATCCACACAAGGCGTGGATTTTTTAAAGAATATTTTTGAAAAGGATCCACACAAGGCGTGGATTTTTTAAAGAATATTTTTGAAAAGGATCCACACAAGGCGTGGATTTTTTAAAGAATATTTTTGAAAAGGATCCACACAAGGCTTGGATTTTTTAAAGAATATTTTTGAAAAGGATCCACACAAGGCGTGGATTTTTTAAAGAATATTTTTCGAAAATTTTGTCAACTTACTATTAAATGAGATCTTCGTATATCATCGGTGTCCATATCTAAAATCTCATCAATATCCACATCAATGGCTTCGGTCTGAAATTGAAAAAAAAACCAAACAAACAAAAACAACAATTAGCAATTATTCATCAGCGACAAAACATAAGAAGAGGAAGAAGAAAAAAATACAACAAACTATGGAAAATAACCAACAAACAATTATAAAAAATTGAAACAAATTTAAAACTCGAAAAAAGTAAATAAATAAACTTTACGTAAAAAATTAACAATAACAAAAAATACAACAACAATAAGTTCAACAGACGACAATGAAGTATAAATGTCGCCAGTCTCTCAATTTGAAATAATAAAAAAACAAACAATTTTTTTTTGAAACCTACCGGCGGATCAAACAATTTCTGCAATTCATCGTACAGCCACATTTCAACGGCCAAACGCTTGCGTATCAAGCTCATCTGATGTGAACCATATTTGGCGGTGAGGAACTTTTCGCGACGCTCTTTGACTTCGGAGCCCTTTTCATTGAAGTTCACTCGCAAATTGGTCCGATTTGGTGAACGTTCAGTGTCGTTCATTTGTTCAAGACTGCACTGCATCTTTGGTATGGTTGTTGGTGTTGTTGTTGTTCTTAGACTGGGGGTGATTTGACAACAACTAGATTAGTTGTTGTTGGTGTTGTTGTTTTTATTATTAATTCTAGTCTAAAAAAGAAGTTGGCGTTGTTGTTATTTTATAAAGTCTTCCGTCTTCCGAGGGAGATATCTCTGCTGAGTATTTTTCGTGGTGTGTCTGTGTGTGGGAGGGCGGCCTGATGCTGATTTATGTCCACTTCAATTTGTATTTCAACTGAAATTGAAAGAAAAAAAAACAAGAGGAAATAAAATTAAAATTAATTGAATTCGAGTTTCGATATTGGGTTGGTAATTTAATTAACTGAGTGATTGATTGATGGAGGCAATATGGTGCAGATTAAATGGAACAATAGCAGATTGGGGGAATTTTAAAATAATTTTTTTTTCAAGGCTGTATAAAAGGCGTGGATTTTTAAACATTTTTTTCAAGGCCCTATAAGAGGCGTGGATTTTTAAACAAATTTTTCAAGGATTTTTTAAAGAATATTTTTTCAAGGCTCCATAAGAGGCGTGGATTTTTTAAAGAATATTTTTTCAAGGCTCCATAAGAGGCGTGGATTTTTTAAAGAATATTTTTTCAAGGCTCCATAAGAGGCGTGGATTTTTTAAAGAATATTTTTTCAAGGCTCCATAAGAGGCGTGGATTTTTTAAAGAATATTGTTTTCAATATTCCATAAGAAGCGTAGGGGATGATAAATACCAAGCATGGCGAAGTCCAGGCTGATGTTTATCTCTCTTTCATCTCAATTGTGGACACTGACCTCCCCGTGGTGCCACCTGGGGTAGCTATTTTCATCACCCGATGAAATAGTGAGCTAATATGTGCCGCGAGTACACCCATAAGAACTATAAAAAATGGGTTGAGGCGTCGGGTTAGTTGCACACACTCGGAAACCCCCTCTTACTATGAAAAAGCAACCATAAAGAAAACCAACCTCCCCCAATGATGACGACCGCAAACGTATAAAGGACCATGATCTTCGAATCTGCACTTGGCATGTGCGCACATTGTACAGAAGATGCGCAGTGTTCGCTTTGGCGGATGTACTCAAGAAGTACATAGCCGATATTATTGCCTTACATGAAATGCGATGGAAAGGGTCTGGCGTAAGTAAATCAGATGACTACGCCTTGTATTATAGCTGCCATGAAACGAGACATGAATTTGGTTGCAGATTTATGGTTAACAGGAGAATAAAAGACCTCGTCTACAGATTCACTCCAGTAGATGAGCGAATTGCTATGATCCGTATAAAAGCGAAGTTCTTCTACATCAGTCTTATTTGCGCCCATGCTCCAACCGCAGACAAAGATGAACAGGCCAAAGACATATTTTACGAACGCCTAGAAACAGCATATGATCGCTGCCCTGGCCATGACATTAAAATTCAGCTAGGAGATTTTAATGCAAAAATCGGAAGGGAAAATATCTTTGGTCCCACCGTCGAAAAATTCAGCCTCCATAAAGATATATCAGACAACGGCATGAGGTTGATTGAATTCGCCGCATCAAAAAACATGGTAGTTAGCAGCACCAGATTCAATCATCTCGATATACACAAGGCCATTTGGATTTCTCCAGATTGAACAAAGAGAAATCAAATCGATCATGTTGTGATAGACTGAAGGCATTCTTCCAGTGTTTTAGACGTCCGATCGACCCGAGGAGCGAATATCGATTCGGACCAACACCTTGTGGCAGCCAAGGTTCGAACTCGTCTTAATGTTGCAGCAAAGGTGCGATCTAACACAACACGGAAACTTGACGTCGAAAAGCTGTAAACAGAACAGGTAGTCGAGGCCTACTCCGCTCAACTTACCCAACTGCTTGACGAAAGTACCCCTTGTCCCGATAATACAAACTGCAGCAAAAGCAACACTTGGGTACCAAAGACCACCATCAAGAAATCCGTGGTACGATCAGGAGTGTCGTAATGCTACTGATATGAAAAACACAGCGTATAGGGCAACCCTACGGACATTATCAATTCGTAATGCGATGGAGAACTATCGGGAGAAAAGGAGAGAGGAGAAACGTGTTTTCAGAAAAAAGAAGAAAGAACAAGAAACTGTTAGGAAATTTAGATGTACAGGAGTGAGAATGAAGTCCGAAAATTCTACCAACGGGTAAAACATCAACCCGAAGGCTTTGGTTCCGGCACATCCTTCTGTAGAGATGAAGAAGGAAACCTGGTGACAGATAAAGACAGTGTGCTTAGGATCTGGAAGGGGCAGTTTGAAATGATTCTGGTATCAAGTAGTGGCGATAAAGAAGATACCAATAATAGATGACGGTATAGAGTGTATACCACCTAGCCAAGATGAAGTCAGAATAGCAATCAATCGGCTGAAGAATATTAAAGCAGCAGGTGCCGATTTGTTACAAGCCGAACTATTCAAGACTGGTGGTCAGATGGTGGTAAGGAGCATGCACCAGCTGATTAGTACAATTTGGCTAGAGGAATATATGCCCAATGATTGGAACCTCAGCATCCTGTATCCCGTGCACAAAAAAGGATACAAGAAGATATGTGCCAACTATAGAGGAATAAGTCTCCTTCCCATCGTATAAAAAGTGCTATCCAGTGCTGTGTGAACGACTGAAGCCAATGGTCAATGACATTATTGGACCATACCAATGTGGCTTCAGACCTGGCAAATTCACCATTGACTAGATTTCCACTCTGCGCCAAATCCTGGAAAACCCCACGAAAAACACATCGACACATTCCACCTATTCTTTGACTATAAAGCCCCATTCGACAGCCCTATCCGTTCAGAGGTGTTTAAAGCCACGTCTGCGTTTGACATTCCTGCAAAGTTAATACGGCTATGCAGGATAACATTAACTGTCACAAGATCAGCAGTTAAATTCGGAAAGGACCTCTCGGAGCCCTTTAATACCGAACGAGTATTCAGACAAGGTGACAGTTTGCCGTGTGATATTTTTAACATCCTGCTGGAAAAGATCATACGAGAGGCAAAAGTGAACAGAAATGGCACCAAACAACACATGTTACTCGCCTACGCCGATGACATCGACATAATGGGTCGAACACTGAGAGCGGTAACAGTCATCTTGAACAAATTGAGAAGGAGTCTGCCAAAGTGGGTCTGGCAATAAACGGCGAGAAGACAAAGCTGATGGTATCAACGCGCAAGACGTTCAGTAGACTGTGGAACTTAAGAACTACAGCTTCGATGTAGTTAAGGGTTTTATATACCTTGCCATAAATAAAACGAATAAGATCAGTTTTGAAATTTGGAGAAGGATAGTGATGGCCAACAGATGCTACAATGGTCTGAACAAACCACTCAAAAGCAAGGCCACCTCCCGCCAGACCAAACTCACACTCTAAAAGACGCTGATACTACCCGTGTTGTTATATGGATCTGAAGCATGGGTACTTGTGCAAGCAGATGAGGCAGCTCATGGAGTGTTTGAGAGGAAAATTCTCCGAAAGATTTATGGGCCGATCTGCGTTGACGGTTAATATCGGCGTCGAATGAACCATGAGTTGTACCAGCTATTCTCGGACATCGACATTGTTAGACGTATTGAGCTGCAGCGACTACGTTGGCTAGTTCATGTTGTGAGAATGGATGAAGATGTCCCAGCCCAGAAGGCATATAAAAGCGAACCAGCTGATGGTTCACGCAGAAGGGGAAGGCCACGAATAAGATAGAAAGATCAAGTGGAAGACAATATTGCCGAATATGATCTTTCAAACTGGAAAAACTACACAAAAGACCGACGCGCCTGGAAATCTCGGCTTATGGAACGAAAGCTCTGTCACAACCCAGCTAAGTAAGTAAGTACAAAAGGCGTGGTTTTTTTATATAATTTTTCCAAGACTCTACCAAAGGCGTGGATTTTTTAAAATAATTTTTCCAAGGCTCTACCAAAGGCGTGGGTTTTTTAAATATTTTTAGGATTCTTAAGATTCCATCTGACTCATTTCTTTCACATCATCTCAAAAATAATTTCTCATAATCCCTTCTCTTTGTTATTCTCATTTCCTCCTAATCTGACAATAAACCGTGGTAATAAAAAAATTGTTTTCCTATTTACAAATCTATGCGCAGCAGTGTTGTTGATTTTGTTGGCGTCATGTCACTTCAGTGACTAATACCCGATATCTGTCAAACGACATGTTAACGACAAACATTAAGCCAAGACATAAAACAGACAGACGCATGTCACCACCACCAACACCGCCAAGTGGTCTTGTGGCCGGCCACAAGACAATGACGGTGACGACGAAGTGGACGTTAAGAAAGCCGAAAGGGGGATATGCCTCACGCATTAACTAAATGAGTCACTCCATCACAATTGTGGTCAACACGATTCACTTCCAACCTAAAATTTTGAATATTCACAAGTCATTCAAAAAAGAAAAAATATGGAAACCAGAAACAAAAGTCAGCAGATTACGAGAATAAATAAGGAATCATTTCTTATTTTATGTGCTACTTTTTGGAAGGCGGAGAGAAATTAACCTGGAGCCCAATACTGCTGCTGCGTGTTAAGAACAATAAGAAAGTGAGTCATTCCGAAAAAATCTTCAACAGGTTTCCTGCAACAAAGAGGGAAACTCCTTTAATGCGAAACTAAAAGAACAAAAGGCGACAGTGGGGCAAATTGAAAGAGGATGACAGAAGAGTGAAACATGGATCCGATTTTTGGCAAGGATAATCGACTCCTAGACATAATGAAAAATAACCTTCTCTCCCATTATTATACCTCATTTTGTTGTGCCATTACATAGCGTATTTAAAATTTACCTCCAGACCCCTTCTTCTGTTAACATGTCGTGTATGATGACGATGATGATATATTTTTTTTATTTTCCCTGGAAAAATTCCATGCATTTTTCTCAGCCCATAACATTACAGAATGAGAGAATATAATATTTTTTTGAATATAAAATTTTTATGCAAATTTAATTGTGGCAAGAACACGTCATAGGCAGGCAGGCTGCTAGTCATCAA